CCCTTCCCTTCCCTTCCCTTCCCCTCGCCTGCCCTCCTTCTCCTCTCCCCACCTTTCTTTCTGCAGTGCAGGGGATGAAACCCAGCGCCTCGGCATACCAGGCAAGCCATCTACTGCTGAGGACAGCCTCAGTCTAGTCCTGTGTCAATTCTTTGGTTGTGTCTTCCTTTGCTACTCTTTTTCTCTCTCTTCCTGGAACTCATATTAGTAAGATATTGCAACTGCTGTTTGCTTTTCTAAGTTTTTAATATTTTATTTCCTGGTTTTTTGTTCTATCTTCTAGATATCCTTAACTCTATGTTTCATACAGGTTTAGGGAGTGAGGAGACACAGATGTGTCAGAAGTGGGACTTTTTATCCTTTTCTGCTGGAAGAGAACCTGGGCAGGGAGCTTGGGCACTGTGTCCCAGACCATGTTGCTGCAAAGTTCTAGAACCAAGAGTTAGACACATTCCCGCTTTTCTAACTGCAAATACCGAAATCTTCCTGCATGCCGCAGTCTCTCCTCCTTTCAAGCACGGCTGGGTGGCAGATCCAAGCCTTTCCCCACCAAGACTTTGCCATGGGAAGCAGGTGTGTCAGTCAGTGTCACCCTACCCAGTTCCTTGCTTTAGTGACAGCACAAAGTCACCAGTCCCGAGAGCAGGCCTCCTCTCCTCTAGCCTCAGGCCCAGGGCCAGCATCTGGCTTTGGCCCCACTGCCTGCCTTCCCTCCCTGTCAGCAGCTTCCCCTGGCCCAGAGCTGGTCACAGGGAGGTGAGGGACATCAAGTCTGAGGAGAGCCTGGTGCCCTTCCTCACCTGCCCTGTTGCCCACCTGTCATCTTCTGTTTTCAGAGACACTAGAGCCAGCATGTGGTTTCTCTTCCACACAGTGGGGAGCACACTGCCCGTCTTAGGCACTTGTTCTGAGGAAGAAATGAGGTCGCCCTGAGCTTGGCACATCACAGGTATTCGCACATTGCTTGTGAGTATGTGCAGAGTGATACTAGGGGCAGACATCTGCCTGGATCCCCAGCCCTGCCCCCCGTTTCTTTCCATAGGGGCAAGTGACAAGCTCACTACTTACCAAAGAAGGAGGGAAGGGAAAGAACCACTGTAACTTCCCCTAACAAGCATACCCATGTACCCTTGGACACTGGGCAGACCTCAGGAGGCAGTAGATCAGAGGGTCCCTATGAGGCTTTGCCTGCAACTCTTTGGCTTTGGTGCCCCAGCTTTCTGAGCTCACCCAGAAAATCTGGAGAGGGGCCTGAGGACTCCTGGGACAAGTAATATGGTGACTGTTCCCAGCCTGTCTTCCCCTGCTCTACCCTCCAATCAGGGTACCTTCAGAGTTAGCCTGGAGCCTGGAGAAGCCAAAGATCCATTTGTTCCTCAGAAAGCCCCAAGAACTGGGAAACCCAGAGTCTGTAGGTAGCAGTTCTGGGACAACAAGCAACCAGCTCCCTTTCAGCTGTCTGCAGAAGCCAGGGCTCTCTACCAGCTAGAGCAGATGGGGACACTCAGTTGCAGTGGTACCTGGCAAGGCCTGAAATGAGCTGGGACTGGTTCATGCCACATACAAGGTCCTATAGGCACAGGCTGTGAACTTGCATGCAGTCTCCCATGTTCCCCTCTCACACACCTTCACAGACAGGCAGAGAACATGGTCCCCTGGTCAGCCCCCAAAGCAGCCCCCTCCTGATCTGCCTAGACTTAAGGCTGTGTGGAGAGGCAGAGGAGGTCCCCAGGAGTTTTGTAAAACTCAAGCTGGCTAAGAGCAGATTTCAGAAACCCACCACCCTCTTCCTACCCATAGGCTTCACCAAAGAAAGGCTTGGTTCAAGGGGCTAGGGGAATAACTTGCTTAACAGGATAGGTGCTGAGTTTAGGACTCCTCTCTGAGAGGTACACACATACCCGGGGGCTGTTCAAGGATGAAATGCCTTTCTGAATTATCAACAGCATCATGCCGTCACGACTTGCTATGACATGAGCTCACTGCAGTATGGGAAATTTGAGAGCTCCTGGAGGGTAGTTTCAAGGGTAAAGATAGGGGTGGGGGCAGGTCGTCCGTTCCCATGGCAGCCTATCTCATTACCATAGCAACCCAGCTCTGCCTCCAGCCTGCAGAGTCCTGAATTCTGTGATGGGTAGAGGACTGTGGTGCTTCACAGTATGGGGGTGGGCCCCACTATTCCTCTGGGAAAGAACATTTCCCTCCCAGACCAAGTGGAGTAGGAGAACCCTGAGGCTGTCAAATAGGGCTGAGTTGTCTTGTGGGTGGGAGGGTGGATTTCCTGAGGTTTTCCTAATGAGAAACCCTTTTCTTTCCTACTGAAATTTGTTCTCTCCAAGTATTGGTCCCCCAAGAATGTCCCCTTCTAACTGACTATTTTTTTTCTTGGGAATGAGCCAAGCTACTTTACACTGAGCTACATCCTAGCAATCTTTTTTCTTTTCTTTTCTTTTCTTTTCTTTTCTTTTCTTTTCTTTTCTTTTCTTTTCTTTTCTTTTCTTTTCTTTTCTTTTCTTTCTTTCTTCCTTCCTTCCTTCCTTTCTTTCTTTCTTTCTTTCCTTTTTTAGACAGGGTCACTAAGTCACTAAGTTGCTCAGGCTGGGCTTGAACTTGTGATCCTCTTGCCTCAGCCTCCCAAAGTGCTGGGGTCACAGGTGCGCATGTACCACCACGCCTGACTTTCTTGATCTGTACCCAGGATGACTCACATAGAGCAGAAAAAAATTTTTTTTGAGTACTGAGCTACAACAGCCTGGGTAACAATCAGCTTGGCTCACTACATGTAGTTTGAGAAGTACTGCCCTTGACGGCCCCACAGACATCTTAACACCAGCGAAAGATCTAATGGAAGAGAGAAAGAGCAAGCCCATCGGCTTTGCTTGCAAAGACTCCAAAAATCACACTTGCTGAGTCAGCAGCATTCTTTTATTCTGTTTTATCCAGGGCCGCCCCGTTGCCCCGCAGCCCTGCTCACTGGCGCGGGCTGAGGTCTGAAGTTCAAGGCCCGGACCTGCACTTGCACCTGCGTGCTCAGCCCCGCGCGCCGCCGCCCCCGCAGCTGCCCGGTGCCGCCTGCCGCTTGCCGTAGCGCAGGCCGAAGGAGTTCCAGTTGTAGGCGGACAGGTCCTTCTCGCGCTGCACCAGCACAGCGCCCCGCGGTGCGGGGATCAGGCGGCTGCGTCCGATGCACAGGCCGGGCCGCGCGGGCTCCACCGATCTCTCACTCTCGCCGGGTGGGCACAGCGAGGCCCCCCGAGGGCGCGGCCCGGCAGACTGGGGCTTCTCCTCCGAACACCGCAGGCCCTGAGCCGAGGGGGCCATGAGGGCCAGGGCTCCCAGCCTCTGTCCTAGAACAGAGAGCACAGGGAGGTGAGCTTGTGGGGCCAGGAAAAAGGCTTTGGGGCACCCGCTGAAACTTCCACCCTGCACTTAGCCTCGCGCCCTAGACCTCTGGAAAGCTCAGCGCTAAGCGAGGTTGGTGCAGAGCGCACTGCTGTCCTAGCTATCCTGGCTTGGGAGGTTATAGGTCGTTGGCTTCTCCCACCTGCAACATGGGTTTGCTTCTGCGTGTTTGCTGGACTTACCTAAATAGCTTTTATGTTAAATTGTTTTAGGAAGCAAAGAGCACGGAGTTTGGAAAGCAAGAAGACCAAAGTATTTGGGGGACGCTCAGCTCTGTCCTTCTTCTGGGTTCCCTCCCCGGTTGGCCCCCAATTGGACTGGGAGCTACTGGTGGGGCCTTGTTCCTTGGTCTCTCTACCAGAATGCTCGAAATAGTGCCCTGCACACAGTAGGGCCTCAGTAAATGCTTGTTAGATATATAAGAGTTAATGACAACATTGTAGTCACACAAGTCAAGAAAGTGGCGCCAAGGCCATTGGGCCCACACACACCTGTGGTCCAGTCTTGCTGCCTGGTAACAATAATTGTAACCCCCTGATGAGCTACATCAGGACTCAGTGAAGACCAGAGATTATCTAGGTCGCCTTAACTGGCTCACTTCCCCCAGCTCAGGTATAATGTGTGCCCTTCGTACTGAGGGTTAACAAGGCTAATTTGGAGGGCACTTCCCACACAGGCTTATTAAATTCACTATACTTGTTGGCAGTAAAATAGGGCAATAGCTCAGAGTAGACAGCCAATTGTGGTGAGAGATTAGTGGACTCGAGTGGGCGTGTGCTGGAGTTAATGTGTGTGTTGAAGGTTTCAGTGTCCTGAGTTAATAACAGTCTGTCTCAGCTGCCCAGCCCACCTTGCCCAGGGCCCTGCTGAGATAGGCAGGAGGATCCCAGCTGCACACCAAACCAGCCGTGAGACCACTGCTCAGGCTGCCTGTGTGGCCTTGCCTAAAGGCTTTCACCATGGAGCATCATCCCAGTAAGATGACACTCTTGGCAGGAGACACCTGGTCTTTGCTTTAAGATATTCTGTGGCCATGGACTATGGGATCAAATATGCAGAACAAGCCTTAAGTTCCATGGTAGGAGTTGAGGTCCAGGAAGCCTAAGTGACAGGTTCTAGTTTCCTCAGAGAGCTGACAACCAAGAAGTGTTGAGTCCGCACTCATGACTCGGGAACCAGCACACTGTAGCTCGTGGCACATAGCAGATACACTCTTGGGGGTGCGCTCTGGCACCTGCTGGGCTTCTGTAGTATTTGGCTGACTTTGGAGAAGACTCTCTACCTCTATGGGTCTCATTTTCCCCAGGGAATTCATGAGGTTGGCAGATATTAAGAATCTGTCATGTGTTTAAGTTCTTTATTCAAGTCCCTTAGAAAGGATCTGAGTCACTGATAAACTTGCATATCATGTTCCTCCCAACATCCACACAGAAGTGGAACAGAGAACAGCGTGAGAGCCATGAAGAAGCTTGGTGGATGAGGCACCCATGCTGGGTGAGCCCCCTGATGCCCATGACCATGGTAAGTGGTCCCTGACTGGCAGAGTTCACCAGACTTCTCCACGAGATGCTCTCGCGTCAGCTCCCAGCAGCGGCCTAGGGGCCATTTGCAACAACCCACCTGCTCCTGCACCCTTCTCCCTGACAGTGCATACCTGTGGGTCTAAGATTCTGCACAGGTGCCACCTTCGCCAGGGGTTCTCCCAAGGAGGTGACACAGAGGAAGAGCAGTAGTTGCCAGGAAGCCAGTGAGTTCATCCTGGTAAGAGGCAGGTCCTAGGAATGCCCCAAGGCCAAGGCAGAGAGAAAGAACAGGGATGAGGTCAGGCACTGCATCAGGGCCAGGTGCTAGAGGCTGAGCCCTGGCAGAGAGAAGGCCTCTGTGCTTGGAGGCTCCTGGCGGAGGGATACGCCCAAACACTTAGAACGGGCAAGTGTGATTGACACAGCCTGCACAGGGCCATCAACTCTGAGTTCGTGCTAGGTGAGCATCCTCAGGAGGGCTTCCTGGAGGAGGTGGGACCAGTAAGGTCAGGAAGGGAGGATCCCATTCGGTGGAAGGAAGGGACTTCTTGGGTTGGAAGTGTCAGGATTCTCAATCTCAGGTTTGCTTGAGAGAAGTCTGGAGACAACAGAGGTGGAATGTAGTTTGTAAGGGTGGGTTGGGGGATACAGGGTCAGATCTTCAGGTCCCCGAGACTCTGAGGTTCAGCCCTTCTTTCTGAGGCCTGGGACCATGCACTTCTCCTCTGCCTGCTGGGTCTGCACAGATCCATAACTTCCTAGATCGGGCCTGTTCCCTCCTGCTACAATAGAAACCCAATTCTTTATCTTTTCTAGAAAAAGGAAGAAAGAGGCACTCATCTTGCTTTCTCTCTGAGCCCTTCACAGCCTTGAAGACTGTCATTAAATTGCCTTATTGCCTGTAATTGAGGGAGGAGAAGAACCTTTCCCTGATTCATCAGGTCAATTGTCTCCGGTCTTTTTTCTGTGGTTCAGAGAGGTAGGAACTGAATTGGCCTCATCACTCTGACTGCTGAGACAGGGGGTGGGGGTGGGGCTGTGTGTCCTGACTCTTGTCTGCCCCCCTTCTGTTCCCCTCACATGTTCCCTCCTCCCCCGCCCCACTTCATGAGCTCCCAAGTTCAATTTCCCTTGGAAACTCTTCAGACACTTTGGATTGTACAGAAAACATAAGACAAAGTGTCTTTGTCCTGGCTGGATTTAAGCCTAGAGCTCCTGAGCCCTCACCTCCCTCTGCCTCGGCTCCTCCCTCCCCTCCCCCACCGCAGGACCCTGGCATGGTTCACAGGGGATCCGAACTCGAATCTGGCCTTAGCCCTGCTCTCGTTCTTATGAGACATGAGCAAGTCACCCATCTCCTAGCCCCAGTGGTTAGTCTGTAAAATAAGAAAACTGATCAGACTGGCCACTGGCTGCCCACTAAGTCACTCATCCTCACGGAATTTGACCCTGTGACACCTTAGAACCACGGCTGTCTGTACCCGCCGGATGCCGGGGCAGGGCACGGGACAGAGGCAGGATTCATCTCCTAGGAGAACGACGGGAAGCGTTGAAGAGCCCGGTCCAGCTTGGTTTGGAAGGCATCCCTGGAGCAGCACCAGGGCTGGGGTGGTGCCGGTGCAGGGGCACAGGTGTGAGAAACTGACTCTCAAGCCGATGCGTTCAAAATCACGCCATAAATAACACGCTGCACACGTGAGTACGAGGAGGCTACAGGAACCGGGGCACCTGAGCCCAGGTGCGGCAGGCAGGGGCGGCTCCTAAGCCTGAGCTGGCCCACAGAAGACAATGCAGAAGGATCCAAGCAGGGCCACTGTCCGGCCCAGTAGCTGGCAGGAGCTGGAGTGCAGGACAAGAGGGCAGAGCTCTGCTGAGGGGAGAGAGCTGCACAGCACTGCCTCGCAGAGGGTCTGAGGCGCTCCGGAGAGTGTGCTGAGTGACTGCACACGGGCTCTGGCCGCTCTGTGCAGAAGCAGGATGGAGAGTGGGCATCTGGGGGCCCCTTTTGGCCCTCTGTAGTGACCGCCCTACATGCATACTGCAGGGGTCTGCCTGCCCCTAACACACACTACATACATACCGCAGCTCCATGCTACACACACACACATACAGACACACACCACATATACTGCACTCACACCCACACATATCTACACATCACACATATATATACATGTACCACATGCCCTCCACATACACACTGTACATCATACACCTGTCATGCTACCTGTACAGCACGCATACCACACTGTACACACACAGCACCCCCAGATATACACACATATAGGTACACACCACACACACCACATATACATACATATACACATGTAACTACCACACACACATCACACATACATGTAAATATACACGTATACCACATACCCTTCTCCACATATGCACATCACACCACATACATGCTTCTCATACCACACGTACAACACACATCACACACACACAATTCCCCAACTCTCTGCTCACTGTCATCCACAGGGGCATGGAACACCGCAGGAGAATGGAATGGTTTGGGAAAGAGCCTTCAGCTCTTGGGGCCATGAGCGGTCGACCTGCTGTGGACAGCTGTTGTGCAGGATGTTTGGTATTTAATGAGTAGTGGAGAATTCCAGGAGTGGTCGGAAAGGTTTTGCATGGGGGGCTTTCTTCCTGGGTGGCCCCGGTTCTTAGCAGGGGACTAGTGGAGTGTGTAGGTAGTTGTGTTTGCATTTGGGAGATTTACCTAAAGGAGCCCCATTGAACCATGAACCCTGAAGGGTTCCCTACCTCCCCAAAGCTTCTGTGGCCTTAAACCCAGCTGCAGGGTGTCCGGCACTGTATTTAACTCTAGCCCACCCCCAGCAAAAGCAAAGCCTCTGCAATTCCCTAGTCCTGGCTTCCCTAACACAATGCAAGTCTGCATTCCCCCAGCCATCCCAGGACAGCTGGGCCAAGCCAGCACCGGGAGATGGGTGTCCCTGCCCTTTCACCTACTCAAATGTATGGCCTTGAAATAAACTCCTCTCCCCTCACTCACCGCCCTGCTAGATCAGGTTGGGATGCGCTGTGCACCTACCTTGGCTGGGCAGGAGCTCCTGGGGTCCTGGGAGAGGGCAGAAGATGCCAGGAGCGGGTGAGCACCCTCAAGGAGAGAGCTGGGCTCCTGGGCTCACTCTCAGCTTCCTGCTCACGGCCCCTTTTATCAAGCCCGCCCCTGACGTCTCCAGGCACAAGCCCACCTCTGCCTGCCTCTCCCTCCTCCCAGGCCCTCTTCAGAGGGCTCAGCACCTGCCTGCTGCCTCCGCTCTCTTCCTCCCCTCCAGGGGTTCACTCACGACCCGCACCCTCTCCCACCTGCCCCACCCGGCAGGGACCCATTGGGCGCCAACAGTGAAGAGCAGAGTGAGGCCGGAGCGCATGTGAAGTGTCTGTTCCCTATCTGGGGGGGCCGCAGCCACACCCTGTCTGAAGTGAAGGCAGCACAGGAGGAGAGGGAGGGCACGGTCTGACCCGGGCTCCTTGATGCCCACACACTGCCAGCCCCAAAGAACCAGGTCAGCTCGGCCCTGACCCAGGGCCCCTCCTAGGCGGTGAGGGAGGGTAGGAGGGGTTCTCTCCTTGCTCTTGCCCTTCCTTCTCTCCTCCCTTTCTGAGCACCTGCTCTGCACAGGGGTTTGCGATGAACGTGACATGATGTGGTCAGCTGGGCAAGCCAGCCAAGCAAGCAGCTGGCTCTAAGAGAGAAGAGTTGGGTGTGGTGGGCATGGTGGGCACCGTGGGCATGGTGGCACACACCTGTAATCCCAGCTACTCAGGAGGCAGAGGCAGAGGGATTACAAATTCAAGGCCAATTGGGCAATTTAGTGAGAGACCTATCCCAAAATGTAATGAATAAAAAGCATTGGATGTAACTCTGTATGAGAGTGTCCCTGAGTTTAATCCCCAGTACTAAGAGAGGCAGAAGGAGAAGCGGAGGGGAGGGAGGGCGAGGATGAATGGCAGCTCTGAAAGGTGGATGTGCTGGAGTGACTGGGATGTGCTAGGAATGCAGGTAAGCGACTTCCAGGTGGCAGTACGTCCAGCCTCCTCACAGCACGTGGCTTGTCTGCGGCAGGGACAGGCCTACCCCTGGTGCCCTGAATACTCGCTGCAATGCCCGGTACGCACAATGGGTACTCACTAAATGCCGCTTTGCCAGAGACTGTGCCCTCCATCAGACTGGGCTGCTCGAAGGTAGGGCTGATCCCATGAGGGGTGCGCTGTGCAGAGCAACCCCGCCTGGTTGAGCCGCACTTCCTGACAGCACGAGGATTAGTGCCCATCACCTGCCGAATGTTACCCTGCATCACTTCCTGGGGTTGTTAAACACCAGGAGAAAATTGAGAAGGAGGAGAGCGGGCAGACCCTGACGCAACACTGCTCGGTGGACTGGAGGCGAGCGGCCTTAGGCTACCCCTAGAAGCCTGGCATGGACTTTCTGGGCTGGGGACACTACCTTGGAGGCTGAGATTTAATCATGCCTTGGGGATTTAATCTTCACTTTCCGCTCCATCGGTATGGGGCGGGGATGTGCTGCCAGCCCCAGTCAGGTTTCGTGGGGCTGTGATCTCTGCCCCCAACTGTTCCAGTGGCCTTTTATTTTTTGGGTTTTTTTTTTGGTGGGGGGGTTTCCGGTACCGGGAATCGAACTCACGACCTCGCGCTTGCCAGGCAGGCGCTGTGCTGCTGAGCTAAACCCCAGCCCTCCAGTGGCCTTTTGAGTTGACTCAGTTTGAAGTCACACAGCTCCATCCTTGCTTCAGGACTTGAGGAGGCTCGTGACGACAGGGACTGAGCCAGCGCTGGGTGGGGGCCTTGGGGGTGGCTGCCTGTTCCCTTCCAGCCCACTTAATCAGCGATCCAAGTTCAAGGAGCTCATCTCTGGTTCAGACCATTGAGCTGGTGCCTTGAAGCCTCCGGAACAGCTGTGGGAGCCAAGAATCATTACTCCAGACAAAGGGTGGGGAGCAGACGCAAGATGAGGGCCACGACGAGGCCGGCCTTGAGAGCTGCAGCGATGCCGAGCGCGGTGTGGAGGGGCTGTGGGGTGTGCGCAGCTGGCGGGTGCACCGAGGCGCTGCTGTGGGGCCTCCGTGGACTCTCAGCAGACTCGGTCTGTGAGATACTTCAGAGACCGGTGGGGGTGCCCAGGAGCTGGGGATGTGCCCCCTGCTTTTCCTGTTGTCACACACCTCCTTGCACAAGGCCCAGACTTAGCCAGCTCCCCAGAAATCTCAGGCACTTTCTGGGTGGTCACCTGGAGTCTCCAGGCCTCCACCTGTCTGGCTGCCCTCATCTACGGGCTCACCTTAGACACACCTGCCTGCAGGCCCGGCCTCCTCAGCTCTCATCACAGGGGAAGGAGCAAGGAGAGGAAGAGGACCCAGGGCTGGTGAACCAGGTACAGGGGAGTGAGGGGAGACAGGGAGGGGCCCTTGCAGCTGTGCGACGCCCACCCCCAGGTGCTGCTCACACTCCTCGTGAGCTACTCACCGCACTCAGGAAGGGGATGTTGGAGGCGTTGCCCAGGAAGCTAAAGGCCACAGGGAAAAAGCCCCTAGAGCAGAGGGGAGGAGAGAGGGCTCAGTGCTGGCCGGAGCAGAGGAGGGGAGGTATGGAGGCTGAGGCCCACCCATTAGCAGGCCCTAATGGCTTCAGGAGAGCAGGTCTCTGGGCCCTGGGGGCAGGCTTGGCTCTGCACCCCTATTTAGAGAGGCCTCAGAGGATGGTGGTTAAGAAGGAAGCCCCCGGGCCAGACTTCCCGTGCTCAAAGCTCGGCCTTAGTACTCACTGGCAAATTCCTTCACTTCTCTGTTTCCAGCTACCAAATGGGGCAAATAATAGCAACTATATCATAGGCCCTTGCACACAGAGTCCGCAAGTCCCTGTGACTCTTTTTTTCTTCCCCTCCTTAGATTGGCTCCTCCATATCTGAGGGGCCATGGGCATGGATAGTATCAGAGGGCATGCCCACCCTGGCACTGCCCCGTGCCCTGGCATCCCCCTTTGCAGGGAGCCACCTGTGTCTGCCCTCAGTATCTTGCAAGACTCAGGAGAGGCCTGACAGGGGACATCTGTGTGACATGGCTGGAGTGGGAAGGGAGCCCCGAGTGTCCTGGCTGCAGGGGGCAGGGATTAGAAGTTTAAATTGTAAGCCAGGTACAGTGGCTCACCCCTGTGATCCCAGCTACTTGGGAAGCTGAGGCAGGAAGATTGCAAGTTCAAAGCCAACCTGGGCAACTTAGTGACTTTGTGAGACCCTGCCTCAAAGAAAGAAGGGAGATGGGCTCAGCAGTAGAGCGATTGCCTAGCATGGGTGAGGCCACAGGGTCCATCCTCACCCCCCCAACACACACACAGAAACTTGAATTCTGGCAGAGCCCTTGGCCCTCGGGCCTCTGTTCTGGGAGTCCGGAGGCTCTGCACTCACTTGAAGAGACTGAAGAAGCCGTAGGTCTCCAGGAGCATGCCCAGCAGGGGCCAGCGCAGGAGCACAATGGCCACGCCGCCAAGGAAGAAGCTGGTGCCCTTGAGCTTGTGCCGCTGGAAGAAGAAGGAGAACGTCCTCCTCAGGCCGATGATGAAGCAGAGGCCGGTCAGGAACAGCAGCTGCGTGGAGGGAGCGGGAGGAGTGGGAGGAGCGTGAGGGCAAACACAGGGCCCACGGAGCCAGGGCTGAGGCTGGAGCCTGGGTGGGGAGGGCCTGATGGCTCTAGGACCACACGGGAGGAGCGACCTGCAGAGCAGCAGAATCCCGGAGCCCTCAGTCTCCCTGGCTGGCCAGGGTCAGAACTGCCTGGCAGCGTGGGCTGGACGGGGAGAACTTTGAAGGTCCCTAATTTCCTACCCAGTTCCCAAGATTCTAATACTTCTTCATCATGGCTTCCTTTCTCACCACGGCTCCAGGGGGTTGGGATGGACATGAGATCCTCTGTCTACAAAGGTAAAGGCTGAGGCTTAAGGAGGTTGGGGAGCCATAACCAAAGTCACCTGGAAACTTCGGGTGGTCCACAGCCTGCAGAATTACACACCTGGCCCTCCAGGCTAGCCTGCAGTCTGCGTGGCTCCTGGGGGATCCTTGGAGCGTCCTCCTAACTCCCCAGCTGTCTCCCAGCTCAACCCATACCCTCTGCCCCCATCTCCAGGCCTTTGCTCTTGCTGTTCCAGCCCCCAGCACGGCTCCCTCCTCCGCCCATTCTCCTTCCCAACGTCCCCTCACGGTCCCCTTGTCTCCAAGCCCGTTTCACAGTCACCGTGTTTGCCTTGCTAGGGCCTTGCCCCTCCCCTGCCAGCCCCGCAGCAGAGCAGGGGCAGGTCAGTTCCCGGACCCCGGACACTGGATTTCTGATGGCAGGGACAGGGTCCGATTCATCGTGGACTCTCAAGGCCCCACCCAGAGCCTGGCCTAAGAATGCAGGCCCCCAGGTTCTCTGACCCTGGCAGGCTCTGCTGTCCACCCTGTCGCCCTCTTCATCTGACCCCTGGATGGACAGGGCATGGGTGAACTTGGGGCTCACCCGCCTGGCAGTGGAGACCTTGGGAGTTTGGGACAGGAGCGGTGCGTGGGGCTGGGGGACTCACGTTTCCGAAAGCCAGGAGCACAGAGTCAAAGTACAGGAGTATCCCAAAGAGGATAAAGAAGATGCCGAAGCCGGTGACGCCGACGCCGATCTCTGCAATGGGCAAGGAGGCTGTGGTGGGCTGGGCTGGGGAGAGGCTGGGACCTGAGACTTCCTGTTACCATGGGACCCGGCACCCTCTTCGGGGAGGGACTCAGCATCTGTGCCCTCAGGGGACAAGGGCTGGGCACCGGTCCGTCCTTTCCGCACACTCTGGCCTCAGTCCTCACAGCAGTCCCCGGGGGAGCGGTGCTACCCTCACCACTTGTACTTCCCACTTCCTGCTGTCTTCAAATGCTGTGCTGCCTAGACCACTTTCAGGGCGGGTCCCTGGCTGAACACAACCATCCGCCTCCTCTGTCCCTGTGCTGTACCCAAGACCCTCTGGGGCCGTTCGCACGGGGCAGAAGAGTGCCACCACACTGCACCAGCCCCGAGAGAGCAGAAGCACCCTGCTGGCCGCTCAGCTGCTCCAGACCCTGGCCCTCCTGAAGCACTCCGCTCTCCCAAAAAGCCCCTGTGTGCAGGGCTCAGGTGCTGGCTTCTCCCAGTGCCGGAGAGAACAAAGTCGTGGGTCAGGAACGTGCCCACCTGGGGTCCCCCACCTGCTCCCTCATTGTCCCGCCCCATAGCCACCCCCACGGTCTCAGCGCCTCCCCAGTCCAGGAGAGAGTGGGAACAACCAACAGTGCCCTCTGCAGCTGGCAGCTGCCCCAGGGCATCCTCAGAAGCCACAGGAGTTTGCCAGAGCCAGCCAGCAGACATAGGGGTGCAGGCCAGTAAGGCCATCTTGCTTGGTCACAGGCTGCCCTGTTGGTTTTTCAGACATTCTTCACTCCCCTTGAGTAACGGGGTCTGAAGTTCCTTTTGTCTCCATCATAGAGAATTGTGCATTTTACTCATCTTTGTCACAATGACAGCCAATAAAGGACAGGGTTTCACTCTGCAGTTCAGGTTGGCCTTAAACTCACTTTGTAGCCCAGGCTGGCCTTGAACTCGCAGTGATTCTCCTGCCTCAGCCTTCTGAGTACTGGGATTACAGGCTGTGCTACTATGCTTGGCCTCCTTACCTTATTAAAGGCCAAGTACTATTCCTTTGAATATATACACCATGTTCTGTGTATATCCATTCATCTGTCATTGACATCTGAGTTACTTCCACATTTTTGGCTATTATGAATAATGCCGTGATAAGTGTAGGAGTAAAATAACTATCTCTTAAAGACCCTGCTTTCTAATCTTTCTGGTACATATCTGGAAGGGGAACTGCAGGATCATACAGTGATGTAATCTATAATTGTTTTTGAAAAACTGCTCTACTATTTTTCAAAGTTACTATATCATTTCACAGTTCCATTAGCAATGCATAAGGGGTCCAATTTCTCCACATCCCAGCTACCATGGTCTTACTGTTACTTTTGATTTTTTTTTTTTTTTTGTCTTTTTGAGACAGAGTCTCCCTTTGCAGTTCAGATGGGCCTTGAGCTCACTTTGTAGCCAGGCTGGTCTCGAACTCACAGTGATTCTCCTGCTGCCCACTTTGAGGCCAGCCTGGACTACAAAATGAGCTCAAGCCCAGAATGAACTGCATAGCGAGACTGTCTCAAAAAAAAAAAAAAAAATCGAGGGAGAAAATTATTCTGGTTGTTTAGAGGTAGGACCGTAAAAACAAAATAAGACTAGGTTTACTGGCTAAATTAAATTTACAACTGAAAGAAGACAACACAATTACCTTCCGAGTGCTGGGATTACAGGCGTGCACCACCACGCCCAGCCCTGTTTTTTTCATGGCAGCTATGCTAATGGACATGCAGTGCTCTCATGTGGTTCTTTTTCTTTCTTTCTTTCTTTCTTTCTTTCTTTCTTTCTTTCTTTCTTTCT